CCCTTTCCCTCTGTGGGAGGATTAACTTATTTAAAATGAATGTGTTGCCAAGGCTCCTTTCCCTATCCCTATATTTGTAACAAACATTTCTTCAGCCCTTTAGACAAGTTATGACAAGTTAATTGGAACAAGAAGAACCCACGTTTAAGAAAGAACATCCTGCAAAGGCCACGTCCACAGGGTGGACTGACTCTGCCTAACCTTCAGTTTTATTATTGGTCAGCCAATATTAGAGTACTGCTCCATTGGAGGTGTGACATTGATCATTTAGACTACATAGTCTTTCTCTCTTTGTACCAATTATTGGAAACAATATGTTTGCCCCCTCCTTGTCAGGTGGAGGCTTTCAGGTTTGGTGTAAAAATGGCATTCTGTCAATATAAGACCTTTATATAAGCAACAAATTTGCCTCTTTCAAGCAGCTGGTAAACAGGTGTTCAATACCCAAATATAATCTTTTTAGATATTTACAACTACAAAACTTTGTATCCTCGCATACTAATTGCTTCCCCTCTCATCCAAGTGGTGATATTTTCAAAAGTTGCATTCGATCAGAAACAAATTATGGGTAACATATAAAATAAACTAATCCAACACTAGCTCAACCACTCTTAATCATCTAAAGGTAAAGTGGGAAAAGGATTTACACGTTGAAATCTCAGGGGAAGACTGGCTGAAAATTATAAGAAGGATTTATTCATCTTCAATTTGCCAACGTCATACTGTTATTCAGTTTAAAATTGTACATCGACTACACTGGTCAAAGACTAAATTTCAAAACTTAGACCAGATCTGGATCCTACCTGTGACAAATGTGAGCAGGCTACAGCCACCCTTCTACATACGTTCTGGACATGTTCAATGCTTCATCAGTTTTGGAAATTAGTTTTCTCTACTCTTTCAAAGATTTTGGGATAGCCATTTGGTCCTTGTCCCTTACTTTATTTGGTACCGGGGAGTCTTCTTGTTGGTTTATGAAGTGTGTAAGTATCCTCCCCCATAAAAAGTGTTTCAGCTCCTATAGTGGCAGGATTACACCTGTTGATTCCCCTGCAGCAATGTGAAGCTTATTCACACTGCCCAAACCCACCACGTGAGCAGGGTCATGATATCATTTATGTCATGTGTTTTCCACAATCGCTATGAGACACAAATGCTCAGACTGTAAGTGTTAACACATCTTCTTATTTCATTCCCATCACATAAAAACACTAAGCAGTGGATGCCTGTTAAATGTTTGCTTCCCACACCAAAAGTTTCTGACTTTGTGCAACAGACTCGCTGTGATCTAGGGAATTGTGCACCACATATAACAGTTGTGTTACACTTTATTCTGCTTTAGCTGGAAGCTGATGAAGGACATTCAGAGAATGTGTCATTATTTCAAACTGGAAACTTAAGGCTGCAAACCCATTTCAGAAATCCTCTAGATTATACCATGAATCTCATTTGTTTCACTGTTTTTGATTCACTTCTTGAAACAGGGAAGGTATGATTAGATGATACTTGTTGGGTGCAACAACCAGGCTCCCCTGAAACCACACCCTGAACCCACTGCTCAACCCCTCCCCTGCAGCTGAGCCACAAATTACACTGTGTCATCACTATAACTGCATGTGTACAATGTCGATATTGATGTTATGTAACAATGATGATAAAAAAAAAACAATATGAGAACATAATTTGATTGAGCAAAACCTATTTATTAACAACTATTAGTATAAATAAAACATTCATTCTGTTATCTTTTAATAGCAAAATAACATTAAAGCAGTGTCCAAACCTCCTCCAGATCCTTTTGTATGGTGCTGTCATCAGCTCGATGCACAGGTGACTAAAATAATGATAAAACAATCAATTCTCTAATCATTGACTAACTGATGAATCACTGCAGCTCCAATATATTGTTGCATTTGACAACCCACTACAGCAACTACAGAATAA